TTTTTTTAAATATTCAATTAAATATTTTTACAAATCCATCCTTACTAGATGAATCTTCAAGTCGTTTTGTGTTGTTTGGTCTTTGATTGTGAAAAATGCGTTTATAGAAGCTAAACAATTATACGATAGCTGTAGCTTAGGACTACATAGAAAAAATTACAGCGTATGGTGGCAAGGAAAAGGTGGCATGAAATGGGGGGAGCTTGTACCAAGAATGAAATTTCTCCTCAAAATTGAATCTCCTCCTAAAATTTTAGTTATCCATTGTGGTGGTAATAGTATAGGGTGTATATCACTCTTTGATTTTAGAGAAACCTTTAAGTCTGATATTTTGAAAATGCACGAAATGCTGCCACAAACAAAAATTGTATGGTCTCAGATTCTTCCGCGTTATAATTGGAGATAAGGTAAAAACCAACAAGCAATGAATATAGTAGCCACAAGAATGAACAAATTTGCAGCTTGACTATGTATACAATAGGGAGGGATTACATGAAATACCCTGAAATATCATATAATAATCCCGGATTGTTCACATCTGACGGCGTTCACTTATCTGATTTGGGCAATTGTTTTTTTCTTATTTCATTTACAGGCTGATTTACTAAATATAGTCATTTAAAAGTACGGTCACGGCGAGTGTGTTGTGTCGCTACCGCATTTGTGGCGGTGGTCGAACTCAGTGTCCAATTACCCTCGGCATAGCCACTGAATTAGACCATTGGCGAAAATAGCGACACAACATCTACAAATATATTATGCTTCTTATAATGGAATTATGTATCCGCTGAGCGACTGTTTCCCAGGGCCAGCATCCGATATATTTGGAAGCAATTATGTTAATAAGGATATTATGTTGATATAAGGAAATGACATTATAAGGAATAACAATAATGTGGAAATAAGGAATAGGAATAATGCGGAAATAAGGAATAAGGAATGGACAATAATTTTGAAATAAGGAAAAAGGAATGGACAATAAGGTTTAATTATATATACTAGGGACTTGACAATTATGTTTCCCGGCATTCCCATTTTTTGTCAAGCCGTGGCCGTACAATTTTGTACATTTGCCAAATAAAATATTTCTTACTTTATATATGTATGTCATTTGGCCCCATGTTGTCTCAGATAATCGAGCTACGAAATTTTAATATTGATAAACTGCTGTAATATAATTCAATATTGTTTATTGATTTGAAATCATCGTTTAAATCTAAAAATTTAATACGTGATTGAACATTGATAATAAAGGTTATGAATAATCGAAGAACATCTCAAACACACACAAAGTGGGAAAAAAAAAGAGACCAGAAAGATACCAACAGGGAAAGATATGCTAGGGGACATTCAAAACTCATAAGTCGTAGTAAAACTGACAACTCCATGGCACACAAAAACGAAACACTTTAAACAGAAAACAAGTCCACAAAACACTACTTAGAAAAACCAACTCAAAATTGAATAAGCTAGTAGTCGATACAGAAACATAGCAGTATATGACGTTTTATTAACCTAGGTTCCTGATATCTCTATAGACTATCTGTATAGAACTCAAAGACCTCTTATTCCAAGTAGAATAAAAATATTTGTTATCAATCAAAGGATAAATAGATATGTATGATATTTGATAAAAAAATATTACTATTCTAAATTAAGAAGGCAAATGGTCCTTAAAATTTAATACAAATTTTTATTGAGAAAAATTGCACGATATGTTTTAAATGCGTAATTTAAACTATAAAAACTGCAAAACTCGGACACAACGTTTTTTTTTAAATTTCAAAAGTAATATAAAACAAACCGATAAATGTATTTTTTGTAAGGAGCTGTTGAAGATATTGAGCACACATTATGGATATAGCATAACATATCAGATCACATGACCATCCTTCCAATGAATTTAATGAAACATCTCAGTTTTTACGTATTTAATCTTACTTTGTATCATTTGCATTATCCACATCACCACATATCATATATAATATTGTTGTATGTTTCTGTTTTTGTTTTTTTTAAGGGGATTCGTCTTTGCTTATTCCCACAAGTATATTTTCATAATAATTTGTGCATATATATAAATACTACAATAGAAAACCATCACCTCCAAAAACATGCTTGAATGCTTTAATTAAGATATATGTTATTGCCAAAAATCTAAATTTCTGTGTGCTATTTTTATTTTTTTATTTTTTCTTCTTTTTCCTAAACAATATAGGTAAAATTAGAAAATCTGATTCAATAATTCTTTATTGAAACATATAATGGAAGCTTTTGATATGATTATCTAGTAAAGCTCAAATTATAGAATTAAGATAGCAAACAAGTACTTACTCAAATTTACATGCTATATAGTATTAGTGTTAACGAGACCAATATATAAAATAATAAAGGAAACAAAATTTTCAACATTTGTTTTTATTTTGTTTTGGTGTTTTTTTTTAATATGAAATGTACATGTGATTTTAAAAGTCTCATCTTTCAATGAATAAATGCAATTCAAATAGTACAACATCTAAAGTAAAGCAGATATATATATATTTTTATATTCAAAAAAGAAACTGAAAAGAAAAACATCTTGTCTTGCTGAATTTCAATAGGATTTTAATATCAATACAGTATCATCAAACGTTGAAGAACCAATTGATAGCAGTTCTAGTAGGTTATTAGCGAATGTGTTTATAATTATGTAGATAATTCAACATATATAATAAATCAAATGACTAAAAGGTAATACAAGCCATCCGTACACCAATGAGGAAGAAATAGTAAATCCCTTTAACCGGAAGTTATCCTTTGACTGATACATTTTATCTGTTTAGTTATGTATTTTATTGTTTAATTTTAATATGAGTAGTTATGCCCGATAAAAATAGATACCAAACATCTATAAACACAGCATTCTCATATTTTCACACGAAAAACTATTAGAGAAACTATCTATGCCACAACATGAAAATATCCCTTTGGGGGCTTTGTTTTTTTCTCCTCTGCTCCTTGATTTGGTTTTTTTACTATAAAATTCATTGTAGTAATCCATTCAATATCATGGTCTAACTGTTTTGTTATACTAATCAGGTTGTCCGCGAGATTCATACTTATATAGTGTAAGATGCTTTGACATTATGTTAAACGATAGCTATCGTATAATTTAGGGATTATTTTTCAATATTATTTTCCAAAAATTAATTGGTACATTTGTAAATCAAAACATTATTGAATTTATCATACTGTTTTTGCTTAAAACATTAATGTTGTGGCGTCATTATATTGTTATACCCGTTCTTTATTTCAGTGATCATTATGTTAACTTTAACTGTCCAATATTTTAAAGAATAACTCTCTACTTTCTTAACAATAATGGACAGCTGAAGGTGGCATATTATTGATTCTTACAAGTAAATAATAGTTCAAGGATTGAAAAACATCCTTCAATTCACACAATTTGTTTCTTCATTTTGAAAAAATAAATTACAACCAAAAAACAAATGAGAATTAAGGTCACCTTCCAATACAATAATTGCGTCGCTCATTAGAGCTCTCTTACATTTTGACGAAAGGTACGAACGAACGTAAAGGGAGCATGTATTTCATTTCCATGATAACACCGAGAGACTGTTTTAACCTGATAAAACTGGCATTTTTTTCTGAATTAAATTAATCTTTAAAAATGTAAGTAAATCGCACTTAAATTACGCATCTAACATCATAAAATAAAGAAAAATAGTTTAAATAAAATTGAGAATGGAAATGGGGAATGTGTCATAGAGACAACAACCCGACCATAAAACAGACAACAGCAGAAGGTCACCAACAGGTCTTCAATGCAGCGAGAGATTCCCGCACCCGGAGGCGTCCTTCAGCTGGCCCCTAAACAAATATATATACTAGTTCAGTGATAATGAACGCCATACTAAACTCCAAATTGTACACAAGAAACTAAGAATAAAAATAATACAAGACTGACAAAGGCTAGAGGCTCCTGACTTGGGACAGGCGCAAAAATGCGGCGGGGTTAAACATGTTTATGAGATCTCTAAAGTACACGTACGTTAAATACGTTGCTTATGTTAACCACGATTTCAAACATTTTGCGCGGGAATTTTTCAAGCATACTTTTTTTCAAATGTTAAAACCATTACCATTCTAATGCAATTCTTGCAGTATGATACTCTTTATTAAAGACAAAATTCACAATTATTTTTTAACTATTTAATTTATTAATGGGTATGCCATGGACAAATTGTCAACGTGAATCATCGAAATTTGCCAGCCAAAGAAACTGCAATGAATGGAAAATAATATGGAAACAATAAATATTGGAGATCCAGGGGAATAATTACAATGTAACACACACACACACAGCTGAGACAATAACTAACCAACAAATAGAAATTGATGATCACTTACATCAATGCAAACTTTGGGCTCTAATTATAGATCAATAGATCAACTAATTATGGATCTGGTTTTGTTTATTTACATTTATTACACATTTGAACATCTGAATGATTAAGAGAGTCCCGTAATACAATTTGGATGTCATTTTTTCAATTTTACTATTTTTGGAGGGTTTTAAAATTCACAATTTAGAAAGCGCCTTTGTATTATTTTATTGGCGGTGGGATTTCATATTTGCATTGGTATTTTTTTTTAGGATAAATAATGCAAATAAGTAATTTTTTTTATCATTATTTTTGCTTTTTGGGGGGACGGGGTGGGGGAGGGGTGTGGTTGAGAAAATTGTTTTCTTCTGACGAGTCAATGTTAAGCTAATTTCGTTGAGTTGTCTACTTCACATCGTACGTCACAAAATTCCGATGTCGCATGAAAATTCAAGTTTGGCATATGTTGTAGAGTAATGGTCCGCGATGTGCAAACTGTGAGGCGAAACGCCATCTAAGTCCCATAAAAGCCTTGATAAATATTACATAAAAATAATTCAATAGTCAAAATTAAGGATCCCGCAAACGGGTCTTACGTATGATTTGTCAAGCGTACGTACCTTTCGTCAAATTGTAAGAAAGCTCTAATATTAAGACGGTTTCTTAAAAGAAAAACTTTCAAATTAATTTTAACACTGTCAGCGTCAATACTAATTTCACAGCCATTTTTCTTATGTTTTCGGTTGTCTCCTTTAGCACCAATTTGGTTGACAATGTTCGTTGTAAGTGTTGTTTTTGGTGCTTTAATGTATTTCTTTTTTCACAAAATGATTGATATCCTCGTCTTTGGATATAAAAATTGACCTCTGGCGTTGCTCTCATTCTTCCTAACACCATTTTCAACTACAATGAAAATGAAAAAATAAAATAATGCTTCTAAAGCTTGATAGATCATGCCGCAATACGAGGACCAAAAGTAAAATAATTGTATTATAATAACTTAATTTAGGAGTAAATCGTTCATCTGAAGTAGATGTTTGACCAAGTGTTGATGTGCAAGCCAGATTGTTCCTTAGACAACCTAAACCTCATCCTGTGTGCAAAGTGCAAATCGAGAACTTGCTTCATGAACTAGGGGGCTACAACGGTTTTTATAATTTTCAAGTGTCGGCGTTGATTTGCAAGTTTTTTGTTTAAAAAACTTATATTTTTGCAAGTATAGGAATATGATACAAACCTTCGCTTATCAACGACGATGATTGTAAGACACAGAAAAAAAGGAACACGATATCGCAGTTTAAAGAAATCAATTGTGTGTCCGATTCGCACTTTGTTCGTAGTGATCGTTTTTTAAGAAACCGATTAAATCTCTTAAACGTAGGTGGCCGATTTTTTAAATAAGTGTTTAGACAGTTTGTAATTATGTTATATAAATTTGAACATGATACCATTTCCTGCATTGAATTGATTGAAAACGGGGGAGTTTGCAACGGTATTTGTACTACATAAAACGTCAAAATACGAGCTACATTTGCTTATTTTCAATGTATGTAGGAGTTTCAAACACTTTAGTAGTAGATCTAAAAAGTAAAATTGATTGAATACAATAATTATACATTAAACACAGAAATAAGGATATGTACACTTATACCATTTTGTTTTCAAAGAAAATCAGGTGGTCCGGTTTGGGTAAACAATGACTGTCTCTAGCAAAAACAACTCCCGAGTCAAGGTAAATTTCGGTGAACGCGGAAGGAAAGATATTTAGATATTATAACTTTATTGGTTCATTTTTACAAGTAAAAGAGATAATATTTCGCTAATATTTCTATTAAGATTCATTGAAACAATATAAGAGGGAAAAATTCCGATAAAGAAAAAAAAGCATTTAAATTGCTTGCACGCTTGATATATATCTTAATTTGTGCTCATTTATTATATTTTATAGTGTTGTATTCATAATAAAATCGACTGCGGTGCACTCAATATGGTTGAACCTTTTTCTGCAACGTGAACCTGTCTTCAAACTTCATGTGTTTTTTTTTCATTTTTTCTCGCCTGCGAAGAAAGTCGCGGAAAGCGAGACATATGGATTGCTTTTCCTGCGACGGCGACGACGGCGTCATCAATTGTTAAGTTTTCTGCTTAAGTTAGTTTGATAGGAACTACTTGTGATAGATCATTGATATTTAATACAAAATTGCATTACTATCAGTACAAATCAGTTTGACGATTATTTTAAGGGCCTGCCCCCTAGGACATGATCCAGTGACTTTGAATTAATTAGTAATTTTCAATGTTAAGTTTTCTGCTTCAGTCAATTTAATAAGAACTACTTGTGAAAGATCAATGATATTTTCTTTAAAGTTGCATTACTATCAGTGCATATCAGTTTGACGACTATTTTGAGGCCCTGCCCTAGGACATGGTCCAGTGACTTTGAATTAATTAGCAATTTTCAAAATTAAGTTTTCTGTTTAAGTTAGATCGATAGGAACTACTTACAATGGACAATAACATTTTCTTTAAATTACATTTACAAACACTGTCTATACATCTCAGACTGTCGACCATTTTCAGGCCCTACCCACTAGATCATGGCCCAGCAACTGAATTAATAAACAATGTTGCTGTCCATCAGATTGTCTTTTCCTGAATTCTATGCCGACAGGCGAGACGTATCTCTGTGTCAACAGTTAATTTGTTCTCTTCGACTAATAAGAAATAAAACCACAGAAGGAATAAGGAAGTAATAAGAGAGGACTACATTTTTAGAATATATATAAAACTTGTCATTCTTAGCTGCAATAACTGAATCTTTTTCGTTGTCCGAACTGAAATCGGATATATCTGGATACAGGTTTGATTTTAATCCAAAGTTTGAAACAACACAATCACAATATTCGACATCGCTATCTTCTTGTCGAAAGAATTTTGCATGAACCTGAAAAATATACTTTCATCGTCTTTGTCAATTTTGAGACACCAAATGCATGTGAAGGTATTCACGGAAAATATACAATGTAGTCCTAGCGCACGCAAAAAGCATGACACACATGCACTATGTCTTCATGTACATGTAGCTATACATGTAGTATACCTTCAGCTGTACCTTATTATTTCTCTATTGTTTAAGTAGAGCTACTGTTTATAGAGGCCAACATGTAGGATAGTATTAATAAAGTTTATCAAAACAATTAAAACACTTGAAAAAAGACATTCCTTTTTCTTCTATATTAACACAATATATCTAATTTATTTTAAAATTAACAGTATGGTTTTTATAAATTGAATAATAATTTATATTCTGATTTGAACGATAATAGAACTATTATAAAAAAGTAGAGGGAATAAATAAATTAAACTTATTTACCATCAATGTGTTGTTAAATGGAAGTTTTTGTGGTTGGATATTAGCAATATAATACAATATCAAAAAATAAAATATTTTGAAAGTCTTTTTTGTAAATTACGAAAGCCTATTAGGGTCACAAAAAAATATTTTTATCTCGTAATTACGAGAAAACTATCGCGTAATTACGCGATAATTATCCCGTAATTACGCGATAATTATCCCGTAATTACGCGATAATTATCGCGTAATTACGAGATGATCATTGTTTAATCTCGTAATTACGAGATAATTATCGCGTAATTACGAGAAAACTATCGCGTAATTACGAGATAAGAAGTTTTTTTATCTCGTAATTACTAGATAATTATTACGAGAAAACTATCGCGTAATTACGAGAAAACTATCGCGTAATTACGAGATAAGAAGTTTTTTATCTCGTAATTACGAGATAACTATCGCGTAATTACCGCGTAATTACGATATAACTATCGCGTAATTACGAGATAAATATCGCGTAATTACGAGAAAACTATCTCGTAATTACGAGATAAAAATTCATTTGGCCAAGTAGATTAAGAGGAGAAAGATTTTTGTAAAAGATAAAAAAAAATTACTTAATTGCAGAAATGACTTTAATGGGCAATAACTCCTTAAGGGGTCAATTGACAATTTGGTCATTTGACTTATTTGTAGATCTTACTTGGCTAAACATTTTTGCTCTTCAGTTTATATCTTTCTATTATAATCTTCAAGATAATAAACAAAAACTGAAAAATAATCATTAGAATTACCAATTCAGGGGCAGCATCCCAACAACGGGAAGTCTGATTCGTCTGAAAACTTTTACCCTGTCATATTTGCTCTAAATGCTTCAGTTTCAGAGATATAAACCATAAACTACATTTTACCCCCCCCCCCCCCCCCCCCAATGTTTGATTTTTAGCCATGGTGGCTATCTTGGTTGGTGGGCGGGGTCTTTGGATACATTTTTTAAAACTAGAAACCCTAAGGATGATTAAGGCCAAGTTTGGTTCAATTTGGCCAAGTGGTTTCAGAGGAGAAGATTTTTGTAAAAGTTAACGGACGACGACGGACGACGGACGCCATGTGATGGGAAAAGATCACTTGACCCTTTGGGTCAGTTGAGCTTATAAAAACGGGCGTTTTATCAGGTGCCCCGGAAGGGTAATCATGATCTGTATATCTATATATATATGTAATTTTATCTCGTAATTACGAGATAGTTTTCTCGTAATTACGAGATAATTTTCTCGTAATTACGCGATAGTTATTATCTGGTAATTACGCGATAATTATCTCGTAATTACGAGATAAAAAAATGATTATCTCGTAATTACGCGATAATTATCTCGTAATTACGCGATAGTTTTCTCGTAATTACGAGATAGTTTTTTTTTTTTTTTTGTGACCCTAATAGGCTTTCGTAGTAAATTATTACAATTGGGAAAAATTATGTTTTTAAGAAAAAGATATTGAGGATCATTTTGCATGTTGTACATATCATATATGCAGCATATTAAATGTTTCCATGTCGTCAGGTTATGATCAATACTAACAACTGTGTATTACATGTACATGTGCTGTACATTAAATTTGAACCTTGAAAGGAATTCATATTAGACATCTACGTATTGCACTTTAGTTTGTGGGAATACATTAAACGGACAACGCATATTTCATAAATTGCCAATGACAGTGAGAGTAGCAAACTAATTGTGTTTTCGATGCAAAGGAAACCCTATTTCTGACCATCCTGAGACCATCTTATGACATTAATTTTGATGTCCTAAATTTACGATTAATTGTAGGATATATCTTAACTTAAGACACATTCAAAAATATCACATAAGACTAAGATATGTACTAAGACAAATGAAGACAACAAACAAAACTGTGGGAATATCATAATCTTCCAAAAGGAGCAAGACCGGATACATCGACAGGGTAAAATATTAAAACTTATCACCGATGACGTCACTAATTGAAAGCTTTATTTTGCACTAGTGTATTATGATAATATATTACACTCTAACTTTTAGTTACGTTCTATTCGTTTACATGAAATATATTGTTGATATACAATAAACGTTTTTATTACGCTTTGAAAAGATTCAACGGCAATATGAGATAAACTTTATTGCAACCAATGCAAGCAAAACAAAATAACTTTGTTCAACATGTTTGAGGTACTAACATGATTTCTAATGATTTCAAGAACACAACCTTTATGAAAAGCTTTCAATTACGACAAGGGTGGACAGAAATGGTTGATGTAGATGACGTATTTAATTTACATTATGTGTACATACGATAAAGCAAAATGAAATTATTATATATCTTATGCATAAAACAATTTAACAGAAAACAAACTCAAAGTAATTACTTGTTTTTAATGATATCTAAATTATGGTTACTGGTGAAATAGATTGATTGTGATTGCATTTTTTTTTCGTTTGTTTTGTAAAGAAAGATATATCCTTTAGATTTGCGTTACAAGAAAGTTTAAACTGAATATGAGAAAATAAAG